CATCATGTCTAACGTGTAGGGGGTTACTAGTAACCACTGACCTACAGAGAATTATTTCTAAATTTGCATTTCCTTTGATCTCCACAGTTTTTTTTAGCTTTTTGGTTGTACAGCCTGCAAATGTATTGTTATGGTTCAGTTACCCTGCTCTCATCAACACTGTGTCCAGCAGCAAACAGCTGTTTCTAGTAAAAAGAACAAAAATCTGATAAATCCACTGTAGACTGAACAGTAGAGAGAAAAAAAACACAGAGTGAACATACTTGTACAGATACTTGTATGAGGAGATCGAATTATATTTAAATGAAGACAATATTATTTGTTTCTGGCTACTTAGAGCAAATTATTGCTAATGTTTCTCTGTATTTCCTGGATGTGTAAATAGGCAGTTGCTTGCTAACATGTCAGCCATGGCAGTTGTGTGTTAGATGCGGTGTTTACAGCTTGTTTCACTGTCCCCAAGTGACAAAAAACTCAAAATTTAATCATAAATATTATATGTCTTGCTCATGTATTGCTGCCTTGTAAGTATTTTAATACTCCGTCCATCTCTAGCATATAGTGCGATTTCCACTCTCACCAGTTGAAACCAGTGAAAATTAGAACTTTGATTGTAATTGCTGAAAACTGTGTAATCTTGAACACAACAGCTACATTGTCATCAACAACAGCAGCAATACAATAGGGAGTTATTCTGTCATGTAATTTTTGACCCAATAAGTGATATTGCCATTAGAGCTGTAACATGATGCCTGGTCAGACCGAGCTCTATTTGTCCTTTGGGTGCCATCAGTCTGCCATAATGTCTTTACATGTTTGAAAGAATAAATCAAATCAAATCATCAGACAGTTGGGAAAAACTGGAACTGGTAAACGGCTAAATTGCTCCATTGTTGTGTGTTAACACTATGGGGCTGACATACCAGTAGCAGCACACTTACACACACATCAGATCAATCTCAGCAGTCACTGTGGTGTTTTGGCATTGTTGATAAATTAAAGACCCTTCCCCCCCCAGTGCCTCTGTAGAACACACCCACAGATGCATGCAAAATATATAGACACACAGACACATACACACGCAGTCGTCAACCCCCAATGGGTTGGATTCCCTCATGCTAGCCTGTCAGAGGTGAAGGATTGTGTTTAAGTGGTTTTCAGGAACAATACATTACACAGACAGACATAATGGATACACAGATAACACTAGACATATGTTGGCGATCAGTTTAAAATGCAGAGACACAAGCTCCGCTCTCTAATAATGTCTGTATGTGTTAGTGTTGCAGAGGCTAAGGCGTGGCCCATTAATGGAGTCTCTTTGTCTGCTCTGCACCTGAGGGACAACCCCAAAATGACAACCAGGTCTTGGAAAGCAAGTTGCTGTGGGAGGTTAGAAGCATGGCTGTGTTGCGTGTGGCGTCTCCCTGTCTGCTGCGTGCGTTCATCTGAGATATGAGCATAAGTAAACACCTTAAGGTGTAAACATGGACCATTGTGTCTACCATGTTGATATAAAGTCTCTGTAACGCTGGTGCAGAGTTGTTGCAGAAAAAAATCTGTAGTTTGTGGTTTACTGTGATTTTTGCAAATAAAACCTCTGATGCTAAAGATAGAGATGCATACTTTTGGCAGTTATGGATTTGTAGTTGCATAAGATGTGACATCTGAAGTGTCCCGTCACCACCTGATTTCTAATAAAGGGACATGCTGCTCCATAAAAGACTTCCTTGAAGGATGGTCTTGTGTATCCCTGCTCATGGCTCCTCTGGCAGCCTCCTCTTTCCTTGATCCTTGCTCCATAGAATCCTGGGACGTCCTTGAGGAATAAGAGACTTTGGATGTTCCTTGTGTTTTGGCTTCACGGTGCCAGATAAAACACTAATATTGGACACTTCTACAGATCCCTTTCTACATTATCTGAGCATGACCAGGAATAAGACAGTAGTTAAGATTAGGAGAAGATTCTGGTTACAGTTGTAGGGATGTAAATATTACTGATAGGAATGATCTCCAAAGTGCAAAGACCCCAGTTGTACTAAGTCAGACATTTATCTGATCCATACTGGAAACCTGATTTGGTTTATGCATTCACAAAATGGGGCTACTTGCTGAGTGGTTAGGGTTAGGGCAAGGTGATTGGGTGAGGCGATTCGACACTGCTGTAAACGGTTTCTTTCTTTTACTATATCTTTTTATTCTTCTTCGATTCATCTTAACATATGAAGTCATCACACAAACATCGAGGTGTTCAGCAAGCCAAAATAATCACCAAATGAAAAACTTTGTCCATGCGGAAAGCTAATTGGTTAAGCAGTGCAGATCATGTAATGACAAGACCCATGATGGTGAAGCAGTGCCTGTGCTCGGTCTCTGACTAGTTGTTTTTCATTTTGGTTTATTTGAATAGTTGTTAAAGGCCTGAAGGGGTAAAACAATCATTCATAAGAAAAAGCAAACCTGAAATGTGAACCATAAATATTACTTATACCTATACTCCCCACTATATCACAACTTTAGCATCCAGTCCATTGAACCACTGAATGTCATGTGTATGTAAGTGGGCTGTTTTGGAAGATAGTAATAGACATTTAAACTATAAAATTAAGTTACAGAAGATTCATTCTTGAATTTATTTGACAAAATAATCTCAAGTCAAGGTCCACTACAGCACAGTGTTGTCACTCAGTTGATTCAGGTACCATCAAGTTCCAAGTGTAGGTGGAGCAGATGTTAACCTCTGCCTCTGTTCAAACATAGTGTCTGGTGCCAGATGTGAATGCCCCCATTGAGCTTTCTCCAGTGTCCTCTGCCTCCTGGTTCCTGACCTTTGGCCTCTTCTCAGTGGATGCTGTGCTGTTTACAGACAGCTGGTTGCTGTATGATTCTCGTACCTGCCTGATGTTTTCTGTTCCTGGGGCTCACTGAATCTCTTGTCCATGGTGTGTCACTGATGTGGTGTCCCCCCCACAGCTCTTACATGTAATCAGATTTGCTGTGTTGAGGCATTTTTTTATCTGTTTTTATTGATGATTGTTCCCAGTAATCCACTTTTTTTAAGATCAGAGTCATTCATAAAGAGTTGTTCTTTTTTGGCCATTGGTTAGTTTTGATAATAGATTTAAATGTAACTTAGCCAGTAACGGCTGACAGTAACAGTGTCCCAGTAAGAAATCACAGAGCTGATATTAACTAAATCTTCTCTTTGTTTTCTTCTAGGTAAGTACAAGGAGACTAGGACCGACCTTGACACTGGGGTGCAATTAGGTACAGTTGAGCACTTCCTTGAGCATAACTGCTAAAGGACTGAGCCACACCTGCTTCTGATTGCTATATACTGATTTTAACACTTGGATGAGCTCATTTTCAGCTAAAAAGAAAAACATGTGCATGTATGTGTGCTGTACAGTTTGTGTTAAGGCAGCCAGATGGCCACAGTTACATGTTGCAGCAATGCTGATCCAACAGTCAACATCAGACTGTGTGCAGGTTGTAGTGTTGAGGATTCTTTGGGAGGTTGAAGCAGCTGGAGGTCTTTTAATCTCTGATTAAAGATGACTGATCTAATACAGTCCCTTTGTATTAGTGAAGATCTGGACAAGATTAGTAACCAGGCCTACCACAAGTTAGTTAAACCAGGACTTGCACTGACAAAGCACACCACACATCATTTTTCAGTATTAATTGTGGAGACCACTTCTCCTTCACTGCCATGAGGTGGCGCCATGGTATTAAAATGCAAAAAGGGTGAGGCCTTTGAGCAGATAAACATTGCAGCTGGTGTCTTCATAGAGTGTTAACCGAGGACATGTATATTATAGATGGAGAAGGATTTGTTGTTGAATACCAGTAGTAGGTCTTGTGTTTATAGATTCTATAGCTGACTGGATGTAGGCTTCCTGAATTGAAACACTGATCCTAATTCTGCCAGTTATTATATTACCGCTGCAGTCCTCTACTGATTCTTGACCAAGAAGGTTTAACAGTAGACATATGTACTGGAACAGTGCTGGAAAAATGTCATTTGCTGCCCTTTAGTGGATTTTAAAATACATGGCCAGCATTGTTATTTCAGCACCACGGACAGGGATCATTTTTATTAAGCCACTACTGCTGAAGTGAACCCTCAACCACATTGTTTGCCTTTGTCTCTGCCTTATAGTATAGGATATATTATGCAGAGGTGTTAAGAGGTTGTACATTTCAGGTCTTCCTGATATACAGCATGTTTATGAACATATGCTTCATAGCTGTAACATTATTTTGTCAACTGCACTGAAGTCAGCGAGGCTGTCCAAAATGACCTCTCAGTAACAACAGCAGCACAAAGTACATCTTCCAAAATGAAAATACAGCTGAATCAACACCTCTCATCACCTTTATGAAGCAGTATTTATTACTTAGTTTGAGCTAGGTGTACCTAATAAACTGCTAAATGAGTGTGTATGAAATAAAGCAATGGCTTGCATGTTTAGACATCATGTGTTCCCTGCAGGCAGGTACAAAAATCATGCAATAACCAGTTTCACCCATTTCCAGTGTCATAGGCAGTTTTACTATGTTCACGACTACAAGATCAATTGTAAATGTGAATCAACTGACCGATGTGTTATTATGTGTGTATTTATGCATGTGTATATTTGTCTGGAGCTGTGAATTTTTCCAGTCACAGAGGCAGACTGTACCAGTTTAGACCTGCTACAGGGGAGGCTGGGCTAGTGAGGATTCTGACAACACTCCAGGTTTACCCCTCTGACTCCAGTAAAAGTGGTACTTTCCGTGCTGTTTCCAAAGGACACTCGCTGATGCTTCCGTGTCGTGTATCCCCTCCCACATATCACTTCTCTGACACGTCCCTCATCCCGCTTTCTATAATCCTCCCCCCCTCCACTCCTACGTCCCCTTCTGATTTTTGGGAAAGTCATGTACTGTATTGGCAGAGTCTAATATCAGAGGCTTCCCAGGTTGCCATAGCATCTCTGTCTACCTCTGCAGCTGGAGAGGTGAAGGGAGGGGTGGGGTTCTCTCTCTGCCTCCCTGTCTCCTTCTAGCTTTTCTGCCTTTTTATTGGTGGTCCTTCTATTGGCGGCCCACCCCTCCTCTATTTCTATCCCTGTCTCAGATGCAGTTATGCAGGCAGCAGGGACGGAGACTTTCAACAGACATTCACACTGTCTGCTTGGGTGAAGAGAGATGGTGGGTTAGAGGACCAGAGAATATTATCTATCCTCTTCCCATGTTCATCATCTTGTGACTGTTTTGTCCATGGGCATAAGAGTCACCTGGTGAGGTGGGAGTTTGTTTCCTTGGATGAGCGGACTCTTTGCCACTAAGGCGAGCTTCCTGAGAGGACTGAAAGTGATTTAAGATCTTTAGTTTTCTTTCTGTGGGAACGCAGAGAGGGCAGCCATGGCTCATGCCGCGGCTCACATTAAGAAGGCCAGGTCCGAGATGGAACAACCTCCGGACCTGAAGGCTGTGGAAAAAGCCGTGGAAAAAGCCAGAGAGAGGAAGAGGCGTTCCCGGGAACGGGCAGAATCCAAGCGCAAGGTACCAGGCAGACTCACTGGAATCACCCACCCGTTTAATCCTTATCACTTTGTGACCAGTCAATTTTTTAGCGGTTTCTTCATCCCCTTTCCAGTCACCTCCCCATATCTTCATCATCTGAGTGTCACCTCACCTTTACTGACTGAGGACTTTATCAGAGTTTGTTATTCAGGACTGCAGAAAGGTTAGTGATGCAGTAGCCACCATCAGAGATTACCCTGCTCGTCATCTTTGCAATTTCCACCTCACTTCATTATCTTCTAGTGGTTTTTAGTGACACCATCAAGGGCAAAAGAGTGTTACGGATATAATTTATGGAAACACTTGTTTAGATAGAATGAAAGCCTTTATTGCACGACTGTCACCCATGAAACCACAGGAAACACAGATCACAGTAAACTGTGATTCCAACAGAATGTGGTCATAATGATCCCTGCTGCTGTCACTGCCTGTCTTCAACTCATCTTGCACATTGCAGAGAGAACATCCTCATTCCACTCCTCAGTCTGACATTCATGTATCTGCTACACTATTATGAATGACCATTGTACAACACATTGGTCACAGTCAGTGTCACTGTCTCCCAGATCCTACTTTTCCTGGGTGCGCAGGAAGATTTCTACAAATAACACTGCATCTCCCTGTGGATATACCCATGCAGCTCAGTCTCTGGCGCATTGCCAGCCCGCACAGTTCATATTCCCTCTTTTTGCTCATAGATAGTGTCTGCATCCTTTCATCAAACTCAGAATACCCCTGATGTGGTTTTTTTTGGTCAGGTGTACTGCTGAGATAATGCTGTGCTCACGGCCAGTGACTGTAGTATGCAGGGTTTACACAGATAAGCTGTTTTAGTGAGTGCACAAATGTGTGTTATTCTGTGTGGGCTTAGTGCGGTTCATGCTTTTTAGTAACACATGGCATGCATACTTAAATGTATGCATGCTACTATTCTTGATACATCTTAGAGTATGATCTGGGTAGTACAGCTTGTGGGGACCTAATAGACAACGCTGTTGAACTCCAACCTTGTCGTTTTTTTGGAAATACCACATGGTGTGTACCTGTAAAGACATAAATTAACCATTAAAGACTGTCAGTTTGATTTGTTGAGAAGGAAAACGGAGGAAGGCATAGCAAAGCCTGATTTGGGCATTGACATTTGTATGAAGGGAATTCCTACTATGTCAAGAAAAATACCAGACAATTAACCTTCGGGAGGTATTACCGTAGTTTGAACTGCTGCAGAGTGAATGGACAGCTCAACCAGCTGATATTTAAAGAAAGGTAAGAGGCATACTGTATTTGTTAAGTGATAAGGATAAGGAGTGTCAGTTTGATTCATAGTAGCCGTATATGACAGGCAAACAGGACAAGTACCGTCTATTTTAGTACATTATTCAATTTCATATCTATAATGTTGTATCAATGTCTACCTCAAAGCTCATTGTCTTAACTATAGAAGCATTTAACTGTTTACCTTTTCCTCCTCGTCCTGAATAATGGTTTTGACCAGACCATCATGTATTATCAAAATAATGTCTTTTAAAGCTGATACACAGTTATGACCTTTTTGGATCACGAGCTGTTGTGCTGTCCCCTCCATGCTTCACTGCTGTTATTATTAACTGATTACAATGGAGATTAACACATGGGATTATTGGTGCAGCCTCTCTCTCTCTCTCTCTCTCTCTCTCTCTCTCTCTCTCTCTCACACACACACCTAAAAGTGATTAATAGATTCTATTTGGTGAACTGTCCACCAAGCACCCGAGGGCAGATATTTACATCACAGCAACACACACACTGCTGTCAAATCGCAGTTTTATCACCAGCGCTGACCTGCTGGAAAACAATTAACCTTGTGTTGTGCTGAAATGCTGACACACTGTGGACGTAATATTGGATTTCCTCTCAAATACATCATCACTGATGCACAGTTGTTCTTGCATCACTGATTATTTTGCAGAACTTGGCGCATCAGTTTGAATGCGCCAAACCTCCATTGCATGCTGAGGCCAGTATGCTTCATGTACAGTACAAGGTGATTTTCACTTTACTGCTGTTGTGCACTTGATGCATTGTATTGCACTTATTGTGGAACTTAACTCAGTCACACTTATATTAAGGTAAGGTATTTTCGCCCTCCTTAATGTTTTTCATGTGGCCTTTATTTGGATGCCATGTCCGTCCTACACTTGTACAGTTTCAGGGCACTGGGAAAAACTGTCTGCATTAAAATAGATTGTACTCTGGATTTAGACTTTATATTCTCTGCAAAGGTCATTCCATGTAATCCAGGCTTTTCCTAACCAGAAACACTACAGGGGGCACAGTTTAAAAGCAATTGATGTATAAAAATACATAAATCCGACATACATTTTTAAACAAGTCACCAGATTAAATGTAGAAGCATGGCACTTAGTCTGTAGAGGAATGGTGACTGCATTGAACAGAACATAAAAACAAAATATGTAACATGCTCTCAAGCAGTTAAAGTGCACCTCTTGGCATGTGCATTCATTTGCTTAGGTGCATACATCACTGTATGCAGTGGTGCCATTAAACCCACAGTGATTTACTATTGTTGCTTGAACTCAGAGTTATGTTGTTTATATTAATTCATCTGTCTCCCAGTGTAAAAATATATTCTGGGGGAGAGGATTAATTTAATACGTTCTGCCTGCTGTAATGTCACAATATCTTGATGAAACTCTCTTGTTGTATGTGTGGTACTGGCAGCCAACAAGAAGTAGCAGATGTTGCCGAGTTTTCATTACTCCCCAGGCACCTTAAAATGAATGACATAGTTTAATATGCTTTACCTAAAGTATATTGTACTATGTCCTACTAGACACTATCCAGTAGTTTCCTTGTAGCTAAACACGTGTTGGTTCCAACTGAGATGAACATATGTCTTGCAGATGGCTCAGTTTCTAATGACAAAATCACTGGACTGCTTTAAGTGTGTATGCTGGCATAGATTAGGTCCACTCAGGTTTCTAGTAACTACAACCCAACCCAAGAACCAGCTCAGACTGGGCCCCACATCTTATTCAGTCCTATCATGTTAGGTAGGCTCCCATGGTAGTGGCCCAGGTCTTTACTACACTGGAGGGTAGAATATATGCAGTCCGTGGTCTTTCTAACTTATCAACTCATCATTACTGACTGCAGGAGTATAGTTTCACAAGAGATAATCTTGTAAAAGAGATTTTCCACCATGTCAGACACATGTTAAAAACACTTAATGTTAAGTTTATTTTTTTATATAAACTTCACTAAGGACAAGCAGTTTAAACGCTGTGGCGATGGAGTAAATTGCAGTGGGTAAAACTGAAGTAGTTATAAAAAGAGTAATATTTTTTCAAATTAATTGTAGACATTTTTTTTAAAGTGTATAATGAGTTGGGCAGCAGGCTGTTTAAGAAGTAATTTAATGACTTTAAGAGTCCATTTTGGAAGCCTTTGTCTTGTGGGCAGTAGCTATTAACAACTGCTAGTGTCTAGCTACTTGACCACTATTTGGCTATTAAAATGATGTGAAACACACTTACAGTAGCAACTTTTTGACTCAATGCTCAGTTGTTAGCTGTGGCAACTATTTTGAATTTAATCATGTATTGCTGGGGATTTTAGCTAACTACAGTATCGTTTGTTGCTTTGCTAAATTAGCCTGTCTAGCTAACTTCTGTGTGTGCTTTAGCTATTAGTGTCACAATTGTTTAAAATAGTAAACAGGTTTACTGTGACAGACATTTTGACTATAAGTTACAATGTGAGATAACTGAACTACAATATAGAAACATAGCATTCTAGTATTCAAAAAGGCAAGTACTGTACTGTAGTTCACCGTTACATTTGGAAAGATTTGTGTTTTCAGTTTCTGGTAGAATCAAGTAAAGGCAAGCTTGGCCATATGTGTCGACATGGAAACTATTCACTGAACAGCAGTTTTTGTGTGTGTGTGTGTGTGTGTGTGTGTGTGTTGGCATCGAGGCCAACTCACATGACCACAGGACAGCTAGACAGAGCTAATTCTCCATGCTGCAGTAAACACCTAAGATCTTGTCCATGCAGAGATACCTACACATGGCAGACTAACACAATATACTCTGTTTTTAAACTCCTGTATTTCTCTCCCTGTATTATTATTCACCTCACAAACTTCCTGGTGTCTGACAGATCTAAACTAGTACTTTGCTTCATGCACTCCAATTAAGTGTAAGACTTGTATATTCTGTCTCTCTCACTCTGCTTTGTGTGAAACACTGCAGTGCAGTTCTGACAAGTCCCACCATCTCCTCTGCAGGTTTAATACACCCAGAAAGGCTGACAGTAGGCAACCCTTCACCTTTGATTCTCATGGATTGTTATCCCTTCCTCTCAAACATGTTCTTTGTCACATTTCCTCCTGTGGTATTTATGTCCACTCACTCTCTCCCCTCCTTCTCTCTCTCTGTCGCCTATGCAGTAGAGGAGGATGCTGCTCAGCTGTGAAATGCGCATTCACCTTTTATCTGCCCTGAAATCAACCAAAGCAAATGTATCCCTGTTGTTGTCTCTTCCCCTGTGCCTACGTACGGTTGAGTCTTGAGTCTTCACACTATAAAAAATACTGTGCACTGTAAAACTGTATTAACTAAGATTGTACACATTGTCTAATAAATCAAGTGAGAACAGAACAAGGCGTAGTATCTCTCAGCTATACTACTCCCTTCCACGACACTCTGCTGCCAACAGTAGCCAACTTCTGTTGTTATTCCTGCTTCGCTATTGTGCATTGTCAAAGTACAGTCCATAAATTAGCCCCACCTGCCACCTAGTGAAAGTTATAAGAAGCATTTTCTGAACCGTGAATAAGCATTTAAAATGGCCAGTATGAAAAAAAAACAAAAACAAAACAAACTCTGCCTAGAATTTATCTAACCTTTCATTAGTTCATTTTGCTTTCAAGTATTAGGTGCTGTTCTATACCCCCATCATGAAGCTGAATTAAC